AACTACCGGTTCTGTGCGCGTGGCTTGGTGGGCGTGGCAGGAGGATACTGCAAAATCTCCATTCCCTCCCCACTCTGGGGCCAGCCAGAGGTGGTATTTGACAGTTCTCCAAACTACTCAATATTTCCGCTACTGGCTCTGTCGGAACCTGCTGAATTTCACCCCCGCCGCAATCAACAGGTTTACAACAATTATAGAGTCCTGGAGGAGGAGGGGGTATCACATGATTGCCTTCCCAGGGGACGTCCGACAGGCAAAGTCAGTGGAGAAAGCCGAATTAGCTTAATGACCATGTGATTTGCTTCATGACTACGGCAAAAAGGTAAAATCAGGCACAACTCCCTTAATGACCACCTCACTTAGCGGCAGAAGTTTCAGTACCGATGGTGGATGTGAGTCGAGAAGTACCGGTACTGTCACTATTGGCTTTTGGCAGGGAGGAGGCAGAGAGGGATGGGCGGAGTCTCCGTCGAGCGTTAGAAAGGATAGACGGCAACCTTACTCCCTTCCAGCGTTGATGACGTTACCTAGTTTGGTAATGAAACGTCTGCGAGGAAAAACATACATGCCATAGATAGTATAAAAATGAGCCATTTGCAAAGCTGTGTTGTGCTGGAACGTGAGTTTTTCTCATCCTTTCCTTGCACAGCGTAGTAACTTCCCTGAAAAAAGTCTTCCGACGCTGTTTGATTTCTCAGTTCCCCCATGTTGAGGTCAACTCAGTTCCAGCTTCTGATCAGGTCAAACGTCATTTGAACACCCAAACGGTGAAGGAAGGAGGAGTTTCATACTCCGTGTAGAAAGGAAGGCTGCCTTCCTAGCAAGGATGGGCCAGCAAGGCCCGGGGGAAGGGTAGAACGCTGGTCTTCCATTCGGGCCCCTTGAGCTGAGAGCAGTAAATCCAGCAGCCCTTGAATTCCCACCGGGATAGGCGGCTCCGTGCGCTGATCCTCAAGACGCTGGCTCTGCAGAAGAGGGAGAAGGCGTTAGAGCCCTGATGGCGAAACCTATGGCACACCTACCGGAAGTGGCACGCAGAGCCATCTACACCAACTATTACCTGTTGCTCTTCCGGGTTCCACCAGCTGGTCTTTGCGATTGCGGGAGTGCCGGAAACCGGAAGATCAGCTCCCTGGCGTGGATGCACATGACAGGAAGCTGAGCTTCCTGTTTCCAGCACGCACATGCGCGCTGGCCAGCTTTTCTTCACGGGCGCATGCCCACCAGAAACCAAAAGTCCAGGTGGCAGGTGTGCATGCGCGTGCTGGAAACCGGAAGTTCAGTGCACACCGGGGAACTGCTCTTCCAGTTCCCGGTGCTCCTGCGTGTGTGCGTGCTGGTGAGCTGTTCTTCCTGTTTCTGGTGCTCCCCTGCATGTCTGTGCGTGTTCCCATTTCAGCACTCTGTGCCAAAAAGATTCACCAACGTTGAGTTAGAGGTTACAGGTAGACCTCGACTTATGAACACAATTGAGGCCAAACATCGTGTCGCTAAGCGAGACATTTGCTACATGGGTTTTGCTCCATTTTACAACCTTTCTTCAACTGCAGTTGTTCAACTCATCAGCTGGGGAACTCATCAAATTTGCAGATGACACCAAGCTGGCAGGAATAGCCAACACTCCAGAAGACAGGCTTAAGATACAGAAGGATCTTGACAAAC